GCGGCGCTTTCCCCGTGCGGGCTGCTCGGTGCGGAGCCTGCCAGGCAAGTCCGGCCAGACACAGCGTGGGTTACATTCAATTAACAGCGACGCGTGTCCCTGCTGTCCTGGCGCGAGCAAAGCCGGCGTGGAAAGGATTTTAACGGTGTGGAATTGTTCCTATAAGATAAAATGCAGCTTTTTGCCGCAAAATGTGCCGTAGGGGGAGTTTATTGGATGAATTGTCATTTCTTTTTCTGAACAAATTCAATACAAAGTTGCAAAAGGTGATAATTCCACTCTGATAAAGCAGCTGTTTGTCTCTTATCTATCAGCTGGGTAATCTGTCCTAAAACCGTGCTTTGGAAAGGTTTTTCATACGAAAAACTCGGTGGGTATCATGCCTGAACTCTTCCCAGCTTAGTTTCTCTCTAATTCTCTTGGTCTGGCTTCATTTTGTTGGCTGTGGCAGCTCCAAACAGGCAGGTGTTCTCTGCAGCAGGTGTGCTGTTGAGTACCAGTTAAGAAGTGGTTTGGAAAGGATGGATGTTACCAGGCAGATTTAGTGCTGCACTAACGTGCGTATGGGAAGATGGACAGCAGGGTTAGGCCAGCCTGCAAAGACTGCATAAGACTGAAGAGGTTTGATTTTGAACCCTTTTAGCTTGCATTTTTTTCATGGTATAGCATATGTTGACTTGAAGTTTACCTGATCTTTTTTAATGATCTTTTGTGAGGTAAGGCACAGGGGCTGCAGACTAAGTTAAGAATGTCCTACCATATATGCAGTAGACAACTTCTTGAAGGCAAGCACTTGGCTTAGGATTCTGTAGCAGTAGATCACCCTTGTCTAGAAGAGTCTACAGGCATACAAAATAACAGACCTCATCTGAATTATTTGCTTGGTATGTTGGGAAAGTGATGACAAATCGCCCCCAGTGAGGAAACTGAAAAATCAGAACTCTATTATCTGTATATTTTCAAATATGTTAGAGTATTTGCATGTGTCAGACTTCTTCAAAGACACAAGAAATTTGCAGTAAAGAAAACTGAAAAATTGTAGTCACAAAAAATGTCAAATGTAATTGGACAAGTTCAATTTTTTTTCATAAAATCCCTGTGTTATTAGTTAGTTAAAGTACAAGTCCTGAAAGTTTATAGGATTTTTAATACTTAGGTTTCCCATCTTATTCTGTTGTGCAATGCTTTTGATTTAAGGTTTTAAATAATTTGGTTTTTATAATTCACACTGTGATCTTGCCTCTCCCAACAGTTACAGTTGTTTCATGTTGAAGTATAATTAGTTTATTTTCTTTTGAAAATGTCAAATTAAAACGCATTACTTCACCTCAAGAGACATCTTGGCCATAGAAGTAATTTATTGTTTAGCAATGAACAAGTAAAACCAAAGCCTACTTTCTAATTTACTGTTTTTCTTTGCTAGGTCACTGTTGCATGTAAGAAAAATTGCAGACTACAAATATGGGAAAGAAACGCATCAAAGGCAAAACTTCGCAGTCTGATGAGTCTCTGGATATGCTAGGTGTGTTTCCTCAGAGAAGTCTGTGGTCCTAATGTTTGTTTTATCCTCAAAGAGGGCTTGAAAACTCATTAATATTAAAAGACCTTTATACCAGTCACTGGCTTTGAAGTCTCATTTACAAAGTGTGGGTTTGGATAATTGAAACTGGAGTCTACCAAGAAACATTAGTGTTGCTACTTTTCTAAGTATACTAGAAAATAATAATCTGGTCTTAAAAACCAGCATTATTTTCTGGTTTTCAAGAAACTTAGACACACAGTTCTTTACTGATATGCAGATTGTATTGAATCATGTAGAATTCCTCAGAATATAAGATACATCAGAGTCAGCTGCTAAGCTTGTCATGATAGGTTTAAGTAGCATTTTCCTGATGAAGGTTTTGTTGCAGAAGATTCTTGCTTCAGCAAAAAAGATTGTGATTAAAATATTTATGTGAAACCATTTGTCTCTTCACTAGCAGCTCACTTAGTACTGGCCCTGGATGCCTCAGCTGTGTAGTCATAGTGCTTTTTGGTTAAAACTTCTTTCTCTTCCTCGCCTTCTGGTTTTTTAGGAAAAAATCACAAATTGTTAATGTTATCCTTCTTAGCTGTACTGGATCTCACCGCTGTGTTGAAATTTTATTTGTTGTCTTGTTTACTCTGCTTATTCTAGCTCTTGGTTTTGCTTGTGCTGTGTGCTTCTCTTCTACCACCTTGTCTGCCAGGTCACAGATTGTGTCTTGCCCCTATTTTTTGTTGATGAGGAAATGAATTGAGCCATGCTAATCTAGTTGGGAGAAAGCACTCTTAGAGGTTTTTGCCAGGAGGCTCGGTGTGATGGCTTGTTTGTTTTGAATTAGAATCTACTCTACTTCAGTTTCCTGGTTGTCCGGGTCTTGTGAGAGGTTCTGTCTCCTGTGGCTTTTTAGCTTCTGTTGTCTTTTTCCTAAAGTCAAGGTCAGTGTCTGCTGTGACTGCTCCTCATTTTTCTCCAGCAAAGAAATCAGTTACGGTGCAATTACCGATGACATCTCAGCTATTTGGCTAATTATAGGCTAGTTTACCCTGATAAAGTCCTGTTAAGCCACAAATGGAAACTAAGACTGATCATTGCAAGTAATTCCATTATAATAGTAGCCACCAATGTACAAAAGGTTTTTTTATAAAGATAATTTTGAAGTTGTGGATGAAGCTTGTGTTTTATAAAAAGGCTTAAAGAATGCATCTAAATATCTGTATTTGGCTGTTATGGGCTGGCATTTGAACTGTGGTAAAATCCTATATCCTTGGACAGAAACAGAACTGTAGGTACAAAACTTCTCAGCTCATGCCAAGGAAAGTTAGCGATCTTGAGGCTGTAATCTTGCATATGGTCCTCAACAAAGATATATTTGTATCTGTTCTGCTGTCTGAGCAATAAAAATACCTCTCTAGCAAAGGACTTAAGAAAGTTGAATTATCTAAACAGCTGTGTAATTCTTCTCAATAATAGTTTCACAAAAATCTGATGTATTTTTTTACATACTAAGTACATACAGCATTTTTCTTTTAGCATGGATTTGTTTATTCTGTGCTTTTTGACTTTTGAGGTAACTCTTTGTCCTGTCAGATATTTGACCCTGTATTTGCAAATTTAGACATTTGTAACTGCAAATAGTGAACAGTTGTAGGCTGATGATGCTAAATGTCTTAGAAATCTACACTGTAAAAAAAAAAGTTGGTAATTTTTTTTTTTTTTTTTAAGAACTTGAATCAGTTTGTATGTGCATTGTCAATTGCAGTTTCTCTGTACATGACTTGGGCTTACAGACAGCTTCTCTTTGTACAAGTGACAGTGTAACCAAAAGCTTTAAAATTAATCAAAAAATAAATAAGGTAATTAAACTCCTGACAGTAGCTCTTAGCAACAGGTGCCTATTCTTGGTATAACTGTTCTTAGCAGAGTTTGATGTTTGGTTAAGTACATGAAGCTCACATCAGGCTCAGGAGGTACAGCTTCATGTAGGGTGTAGTATGGTAGTACAAAGTGATAATGGTATAGGTAAGATGAATCTACCATTCTTTTTTACCATAGTTTGCTCATAATTTCACTGAGGCAGCTCAGCTGGAAGTGTAACCTCCATAATCTCCACTTTTATAGACCAACCAGGTGCTGCCTTGGTGACTGAGAACTGTGGCAGTGGGCTGTGGCTGCTCCCTGGGAGGTGTGGGAATCATACGCCACAATAATAGAAGCCCACAGCCTCGCACAGTAGGTAGGTTTGTGTGAAAAGGTTTTGTCAACTCCTCTGACTAGATGGAGATGAGTGATACTTTTTTTTTTTTAAGTAATGCAGTAGTTTAGGATGCAGCAACAGTATCCCCAGATTGTGAAGGGGCGTGACAATAGTTTCTTTCAGATATGTCTGGTAAATGGTCAGACTCTACAGAGACTATCCTAGCTCCTGGATTGCTGCCTGCATCTTTGAGGTTTGCATTTGTTATGATACCTACGTCCTTCTTGTGCCTTTTATTTTGTAGAACCTGTGTGCAAGCATATTCGTAAAGGATTGGAACAAGGTCATCTGAAGAAGGCGCTGCTGAACGTGGAATGGCACGTTTGTCAGGACTGCAAGACAGACAATAAGACACAAGAGAAATCTGAGGAGGAGGGTGATGAAAGCCCTTCAATATGGTTATGTCTGAAATGTGGCCATAGGGTATCTCTTGTTTTGTTGTTAATTTGTCTTAGTATATTTCAGTTTCTCATAATACAGTGGAACAAGAGAGCTTCTGATTAAACTCTTAGATTCTCTCTTTTTTATTTTAAAGGTGGTGCTACATAAATGAGTTTATATACCATACTGTGATTAAAAAATGTGTGCTCTGAATTGAAAAAGATGTACGTAAAAGCTTGGCACAAAGGCATTTAGCAGGGTTAAGGCTAAAACACCATCTTGAGGGCTTAATTACCTAGAAAGTCCAAATTATTTTGCTAAGAAAATAAAATTTTCTGTTAATGCTCCTAAGTTGTGATTTTTACAGTAAGAGCTTAAGCTCATATTAGTTTATTAAACTTAGAACTCTGCATGCTGAAGAGGTTTTTGTTCTGGTTCGTTCTTCAAGCTGTTCAAACTGGAATTTGTAAATTAAATATTCAGTCCCCGAGCAACTTTGTAGTTATTCTGCACCCAGTGAGTTACCTTTCTCTCTGCAGAAATAAGTGTCTTGAAATAGAGACCTATCTGTTCACCCTAATTAGTTTAACATAATTAAACAGTTTTCATTTTAATATTTTGTTTATACTCTGACTTATTATGTATGTTTCATTGATATTCAACTGAATTTTGTGACACTTATGGTTATCAACATTATAGGGCTGTGGCAGAAATTCTCAAGAGCAGCATGCTTTAAAGCATTATACAACGCCGAGGTCAGATCCCCATTGTTTGGTTCTCAGTTTGGACAACTGGAGTGTGTGGTGAGTTTGAAAAGCAACGGTTATAAGACGTAGCTAGAGGGCAACAGAGGCTGGGATATAATTTGTGTTTTCTTTTCTTTGTGAATTCTAGGATTTATCTCTAGGCGTACATAAAGCACTTCCCCACACAAAAATCCCAGCAGTCTTTGCTGAGATTTGCTGAATAAATAATTACTTTCTTGTAAAATTTATAACTAGAAAATTTTCATAATTGAAGTTGAAATTGACCAACTAGTAAACGCTGTTGACTTTGTATTTTATTGCTTTTGCTTGGTCAGAATACTAACAAGTGGAAACAGATTTTGATGGTGTTGGTGTGGTTGAAATTGCATTTGAATAGTACCTGTAAACAGTTAAAAGAAATGTTTTGAGTTTGGAGAGAAAGAGGAGAGTTCTGGTAATTCATTAAGTTTTGCTGGTTTGGGTTTACAATAAGTGCTATTGTGTGCGTTTTCAGTACTGGTATGCCATAGCAGTTGGGTCTACTTGGGTTTTTGCCCCACTGGTCAGACAGCCATTGCTGAAAAGACTTTTTCCAATCCCTTGATTCCTTCAAGGTTACCTACAAAATTTTTGACAGATGAAATGTTATGATCTTAAAATTGCCCATAGGAGTAACTATCAGTTGTTATTCCAGGAGTAAGAATGCCTATTTTTATAATTAATCAGACAGACAATAAATACATATTCAGGGATCCAAAAGTTGAACCGATTTTTTTTAATGAGATGTGAAGAAATGTGAAAATTGTAGGTAATTCCAGAGATGCTAGAGATGTAGGAAAGCGCTTTGCTGCAGGCTTCTGCTGCTTTTAATATTGGAAAATAGACTCTGATTTATAGCAATCCTGAAATCTGCTAAATGCATTTGTGCCTAAGAACTGTAATTAGAGTGTTTCAAAGTGTAGAAGTATTTACATTCTCTTCAGTACCTTTTGTGACCTCTTCAAAGAGCTGATTGGGCAGAACTACAGAACCAGTACATACAACTGTCCTTCAGCTATGTGTGTTCTGGCAGAATTTTATTCTTACTTGAGCCTTTATGACTGCAGCTTCTCTCAAAATTTGCTTAAAACAGATTAGTGACCTAACCATGCACTTCTTTACTCATAGAGGTAAATAAATTTGCATCAGCAATGGAAGAGCAAATAAAAGTGTGCAGGACTAACAGAGGACACTGATTTATTTCTTATCCAATTTAAATATAATGAAGTAATTGCTTAGCTAAAATGCTCAGGCTATTTTTCTGTGCCGTAACATTCATAATTTATTTTCTTTAGGGCATCATATCTTAGTTTCTTGATTTTTGGCAAAACTTTCCCTGCATTTATTTTTCTTGCAACAAGGTTTCTAAGTACATATTTTAAAGAGTCAAATTTACATTTGTAAATTGCAACCTCCAGTCACTGAAATAATTTAGTAAAGATAATTTTTAAACTTATTATTCTCTTGATCAGAAATATTGAAGTCTTCTCAAATTCTTCTAAATCTTAAAATAACTCTTGTAATTTTATAACTTTGTGTATTGAATCACATGAAACAAGCAAATAGTTCAGGATTTTTAAATAATAGAGGAAAAATAGGATTAATTGTTTTTCTTTTGGGGGGACGGAGACAGGTGCTACATATGTGATAATGAAGTCTCATATAATACTTCAACACGACTAGGCCAGACTGTGGATTATGTTAGAAAACAAGTTGGCTGTGACTCATCAGGTACAGGTAGGTAATTATAATAGTGCATACACAGTAAATCAGAAAGTTGCTTAAATGTAGGAGACAGTACTGTAAATCCAGAATGTACATTAACTTAAATTTTACTTTTGGAGCACCTTATGACAAAGTAAAAAGCTAATTTTTTTTTCTCTCCTTTGTTAGAATTCTGATAGCGTAAGTAACATCCTAGCCCACAGACCTAATTGCACCAGGATTTTGTTCAGTGTCCCCTGAACTTTTACAGCCCTGAAATACAGGAATAGGAGGAAAAAAATATAATTTTACTGTGACATTTTTAAAAAATGTGACATTCAGTTGTTCTGTGATAAGTAATTGACTTTCAGTATTTAAAAGTGCTGTGTTTATTCATCAATATTGCTCAGTCTGTCTTGATCTGAAGGAAAATTGTAATTGCTTAAGGATAACTTGATTTTTTAAAAGTATTTTTGTAGGTGTTTGTGAATGTAGCAGCTGGAATGACAAAGTCTCTAGCTGTTGCAGCACATTTCGTTATGGAAGGAGTATCCAAGAGGATTTATCTGCTGGGTCTGTACGTTTAGTATAGATACCTGCAGTGTATTCAGAACTCTCTAAAATAGCATGTTCAGCCTGTAGTCTAACTACAAAACGTGGTTGTTTAAAAGGAAACAAACCTAGCAAAAGCCCCTAGTTTCCACAATGACAAAACTGGTTTTGTACAAGGCATTTCCACTAGAAAACTTGGAAGAATTTGCGTAGCAAAATAAACGCTATAACTCATAGCTATCAAAATTCCAACAATTTCCTACACTTGAGTGAAATCATAGCCCCCTTGAAAAATAGATCACAACCATCCAGCAATGCCAAGTGGCTGAGGTTTTCCCACAGGGATTAGAATCTTTAGGTGGTTTTGGTCATTCTTTCCTACATACATAGTCTCTGTACATCTAATATTGGAATTTCATATTGGTTGCAAATATTTTCTTCTCAGACTTGAGCGGGGAAACAGATAGATACCTGGTGCAGTTGTTGTCTGTTTCAGGTGTTCCATCTGTTTCTTGTCCATCATCAAAGATTGTGTTGTCCTTGCTTCCTCTGAGCTGGTGTTACTTTAAGTTAATCTTGGCTCACAGCCCTGTTTATCAGAAATCTAGTCAATAGTAGACTGCCAAACTGGCAGAACCAGTGTGGGTGTAATTCTGAAAATTACCTGGAATTCCCTTATGGCTTTATTAAACAGATCATAGAAATTTTGAGCTGTACACCAAAGTATTTTTGGGGAAAGTATCTTTAATGTGTCTTGAGTAATATAAACCTTCCAGTTTCATCTGTATAGGTTCGTGAAATGAATGTGAGAATTCTTTGACAGTGGGAGGCCTGTGCATTTCATTTCAGACAATAGTGCTGTGTCAAAACGGAAAGCCCATAAAGCCCTAACACAGGTGATTTTGCAACACAAATGACACTTTAGATAACACATGCAGAATTTCAGAGATTGTTGGTATGACAGGCTTGTGGACCAAGTGGCATGTTTAAATTGCATGCTGATACAAAATGGCATTTCAAGGATTTATTGATTTTTTTTTTTTTTTTTTCAAAAAGGCATTTTAAGGGTTTTTTTTTTTTTTTTTTTTTTTTTTTTTTTTTGCTTGTTTAGTTTTGTTTATTTTTTAACTCCTGTTACCTGGACAGTTTAAGAACCTAAACTGGTAGTATTACATTTATACAATTACAGAATTAGTATATGTTTAAGTTTTAAACAACATAGATTGCTCCTGCCTATAAAACCTCTTTCCTAGCCCATTCCCTGTTACTGGGTTAATATATAGTATGGGGTTTTTTATTATTTCAGCAGAAAAACAACAAGAGAAAAAAGAATTTGAAAATAAAAAGGTGGAAAAAGACAGCAAAAATGAGCAAGAAAAAGAAGTCTCACTTAAAGAAGAGAATTCTCATTCAAGTGCTAACTCGGAAGTGACTGTGAAAGGACTTAGTAACTTGGGGAATACATGTTTCTTTAATGCAGTGATGCAGGTACAGTAGTTATTGCTGCTCTTAAAAAAAAATTTTGAATAGCAAAAAAAACCCCAACAAAAAACCCAACAGTCCACAACAACCCTGGCCCCAGTCTTTTACAATGACACAGTTAGAATGTGATTTTTTTTTTATCTGCCAAGAATGATGGGTTCTTTCTAAAAATAGTGTGTTGGCCCAGAGAAATATGAAGAAGTGGAGTTGCAGGTTCAGACTTGCTATAAGGGAAAATATAACAAACTGCCTTGTCTTTGAGGGACATCATCTTTCACTGATGTAGATTGAGCGTGTCAACTTCCTAGTTTAGTAAAAAAAATAAGTCTGGCACGTCACCTTTGCTGACCTCTTAGAATGTAAGAGATTAATACCCAAAGACTGTGGGTGTTTACTGAAACAAAAATGTCTCTCTTAGCAACAGGAAATCAAATAAAAATAAATATTAACAGGTTGAGCATATTGCATTGCCATCTTGTGTGTCTTGCTCAGCTAAGAAGTGGTTTGGATAGAATAAACTTGCTCTGTCATGTGTATCAGAACTTCAGTGTGATCTTATGCTCTTTGACTCTTGATACTGAAGCTTTACTCCAACAAAATTCCCACTGTACTTGCAGGTTTTTAGTAAACAGTTTGATTTTTTTTGTTTGTTTGTTTGTTTTAAACATGTTTTAAACCAAGCAAATATGGCAGTTAACACTCTAGTTTGGTGTTTGGGAAAACTAAATTGATGCTAATCTGCAGCTAATTGTTACAAATTCCATGACCTATGGAATTCACCTGCCCTTCCTCTTGTTCCCTAGTTACTGATCATTTTCTTTCTTTTGTGTTCTACAGAATTTATCACAAACTCCAGTCCTGAGGGAGCTGCTTAAAGAAGCTAAAATGCCTGGCACAACAGTTAAAATCGAGTCACCTGAGTTATCGATGGTATTTATGCTTCAAATTCCATGGTGTTTCTCCCCACCCTTCTACTGTATTAAAGAAACAAACAATACTTATCTCTAGATTTTAAAGTTGTTTCAGCTAAATACTAACAAGCTTAAGATGTAAAATCAGTGGGAACTTCACCATTGACTTCCATAGAGCTGCTTCTGAAGTCAGTGTAGGCCTTTCATTCAAAGTGAAAGAGCAGTGATTCAGTACTCTAAGTATTAGTTGTCATCAAAGGGGTACTTAAGTTATGGTTAAGTTATTTAAAGGGTAAAAATGTGTAACTTTTGCTATAGTGTCACTTGTCTAAATGCAAAGTAGGAAACTAGAAGATGTTTGCAGCGCTAACTTAAATAATGCACCTATCATTACAGTTGAGGATTTGGCTGGGAAAGAAGGGTTATGCATTTTAAGAAACTGTATTTTTTTTTCTTGGTGAAAGCAAGAAATCCAGAGTTGCAACTAAGTGATGAATAATTAATGATTCTTAGCCCAGTGTTTTGCTATCGTCTCATGAGGAACCATGTATTGATTGTTTTAGGTTAACTAATTGCTATTTTGGAATTTTGTGTATTCTATTATATAATAATGTTTTCAAGAACTGATGTTTTTATGTAAGGAAAAACTTAATCCAGAAGAATCTGTCACCACATTAAGGAAGAACAACTTTGTTGCTTTTGTTTAAAACAGGAACCTCAGCTGATAAAACTAGATCAGCCAGGTCCTTTGACATTAGCCATGTTTCAGTTCCTGACAGAAATGCAAGAGACAAAAAAAGGGGTAGTCACTCCTAAGGAACTTTTTGCTCAGGTTTGTAAAAAGTGAGTATCTGTACAATTGCATGTCATAGTGAGTATGGGAAAAAAACCTTAGTTGTTTAAAAAGGTCAGTTTTCTCCCTTTTTTTTCTTGAGCTCATGTCACAGCATATAAAATTTGTGTAATACTTAACAAGTTTTGAAAGAAGAGGACAAAGAGCAAAGTATAAATGAATAGAAGTAAAATTAAGATATTCAGTGACGTGTTCTGTTAGCTACCTTCATATTTTTAGAAAATACCATATATAGACACTTGCTGCTTTTCTATACATACCTGCTTGAAACTTTGTCCTTTTGCATCTGGTATGAATTGTTTTTCCTTTATCTATCTCTAAGTTCAGTTATACTTTTCAATTATTGTTTCATTTAACAGAGCAATACGATTTAAAGGTTATCAGCAGCAAGACAGTCATGAATTGCTTCGTTACTTACTTGATGGAATGAGAGCAGAAGAAATTCAAGTGAGTGCTAATTTCATAGTTGTGCATACGTTTCTTCTTCATACTCCAGACCAAGACTTTCCCCACTGCTAAGAGGAGAAAGAACATTCTTTCTGAGATAAGTCAACATCTGTGGAGCGGTATGTGCTGCCCACAGCACTTACTTGAAGTGTATTAGCAACAGAGCTGTAGAACCAGGTAGCCTCTCAGCAGTGTTAAAGGGTATTACTATTTTAATTTAACAAAACAATTAAAAGTAAGAAGTTTGTGGCCTCTGCGTCTTAAATATATTGCACACATTGTTTAGGTTTCTAAGGTAATGGTATTTTCTGCCTTTTTGGAAAGCAGTGTACTGATTATTCTCTATGCTCTCCTAATAAAATCGGGTAAAACAGTTCAGTATTGCTTACTCTAAAAGTCTTTGGTTAATTGATCACTTTTAATGTAAATATCTGTTGTCCTTCAGAAACAGATTGACTTGCCCAAAACGTCTATAGAAATAGTGGATTTTTGAGTATGTGTAGTCACCCTAAAGGATATCCTTTTGTCTTAACTTCTGAAATGTCTGAAAGTTCACCTGTGGAAATTGCTCGTGGGGGGTTTTCTTGCCAGTTTTAGTATGTGAAAGTGTTTCATCCTTAGACCGATTTTTCTTACATACTAATTCTAAGACTACAGTTGCAAGCTTGTTTCTTGGTTGGTTATTTTTTTAATATCCTCAGGAACTATTTTGTGTCTTTACAGGCGAATGTGTTGTTTATATTGATTCTCTTAATTGATGAAGATTTAAACTTTTTCCTCCACCTGAAACATTTGTAAAACTACTGAATTAATTTAGGAAATTTACAGTGTGTGTTGTTAAAATTTCAGCGGATAAGTGTTGGAATACTGAAGGCGTTGACTGACTCTAACAAACAAAATGAAGAAGAACTTAAAAAGAAAATTAAAGGTAAAATACATTTTACTGATGTGATAATTTAAAGTTTTCTGTTTCATTGAAGTACACAAAGTAACACTATTAGTATCAACTAACATGTTTAATTGTTCAACTTTATGCCATGTCTTGAATATACACGTATCTAGAATATAAGGCTCAATAATGTTAGTCTATTTAAATGTGTTACTGACATTGGTGGTTTTTCTTTATTAACAAAACAAGAGAGAGTTGATTCTATAGTCGTTATACATTAAAATACTTTTGGGTAGTGTTTAATCCTTCTAATATTATGTAAGAAATTAAAATATTAGCATACGAATGTGATGATTTGTTCTGTCCTAATAGCCCATATTACTTAACAGTGGTATCAAAAAAAACCCCAAACTACTGAACAGAAGAATGTTCAAACTTTTTAACATGGCTTACATTAGAAGATGAAGAACAATTTAAGTTCAGAGTATATGCTACACTGAAAATATAACTTCAGGAAATAGATTTTGTTTATAAGGCACCAGTGCAGACAAAAGTTGTGCTTGTTTTTAGGTTTAGACAGTTGTTTGAGTTAAGTCCTGAGAGAAGACAGGAGCTCTTACTGGGATGCAGTACTTCTGCGAAAATAGGGAAATATGTTGAGAAAGTGGTAAAGGTGTTGGTTCAGTCAAACTGTGTTCTTCCAATGTGTTTTCTCCCCCATTCCTTTGATATACAAACAGTTCTTAATTTAGGAACCTTGCTCTACTTCCTGAGGAAACTAGAACAGGCTAACTAACATGTTCCATCTTTCATCTTGCCTAATTTTCTTTTGTTGTATCTGGAATGCCATAACTAAATTAGTTGCCAGTGTATTATATGTAATAATATTAACTTTACTGTATACTTTGTCAATTCTCAGAATACGAAAAGAAAAAGGGAATACAAAGTTTTGTAGATCGAATCTTTGGTGGAGAATTAACCAGTACAATTATGTGTGATGAATGCAGAACCGTAAGTAAACTTCCTGCTATAAATAGGCTAGAGTATAATTTTTTGTCATCTGCAGGAGAACCCCAAAGTAACTCTGTGTAGAAATAAGTGGAATTGGATGGGTTTGCTTCAGTTAATAGACTTATAAGAGTTGACTAGCTGCATGCTTTTCAAAGGGGGTCATGATTTGGCTGAAATATTTCTTCCCATATATTATAAAGCTAATATTTCAGTTCCTTTCAGAAGACTTAAAGAAAAAGAGGCCAGCAACAGCAAGCTGCCTCTGCCAGAAGAATTCACTCTCAGATTCCTGGTGAGCACCTTCCAGCGGTACAAATTGTAGAGTAGATGAATTATTCTGCCACTAGCAGTATGCTGCCAGGGGCCCTTTCCTTTTTCATCAGATGATTTGATCTCTCCCTTTCCCACACTAGAATCACCATGGGATTGCCAGAAAAATAGTTAAAACAAGAAGTCACTATTGGGATAATGCATCCCAAGAATGAAGTAATTAAGGGTATTAGTGAGCGGGCTAGGTGGATGTCATGACAGATTGCAGGTATCTATCTCATAGGCCCTAAGTTGGGTTCTCTCATTCTAGGCCACTAGAAAACTGAAACTTTATAAAAGTATTTCTTGCTTATTTCTGTGGTAATGTGATTGCTAAACAAAATTAAATTAAACTCTTAAATACTTGTTTAAAGGTATCCTTGGTCCATGAGTCTTTCCTTGATTTGTCACTTCCTGTACTAGATGATCAGGTAAGAAATTGTACATGCTTGACTTATTTTTTTGTTTGCTTTTATAAAAACACCTCAATTAGGGAATGAATTTATGCATCTTTCTAAATGTCTCTTTTAAAAGTTAAAGTTGTAAATCTGCCCATAGAGATAAAGAATAAGATTTTCATGAGAGTCACTCCTCTAAGTTGTGACCATAAATTGTCTCTAGGAAATGACTGGTAAGTCTGTTGGCGATCTTGCTGCTTTGTCAAGTTAATGTTTCTAATGTAGAGATTGGCTTAGGGAATAATCTAGTATGTTCCAGTGCTGTCTCACTGTTGTTAAAGACTAAGTTGCAAAAAACAGTGCTTCCCAATTAATATTTACTGTTGTAAAACTGCACTACATTGCATGACAGTGACGGGTGCCTAGTGGTTGCTTGAGTGCTTAATTTATTTTTTTTTACTTTTTTCATCCATTTTTCTACACTGAGTACAAGAATACTTCTCATAATATTCAGGTTATTGAATGAAGTTAGGAAACATTGGTAAGCTAGTATGTGAATACTTATTTGATCAATATTGATTTATTTGATCTCTAGACACTCAATGCTTTATTTGCTTTGTGTTTCGTATTTATAATCTGTATATGTAATATTTCAGACTTGTTGTGTAGCACTGTTCGCACAAAACCTAATGAGTAAATACTGAAATGAAACCCCCTTAGCCAAAGGGATCATGTATCTTCTACAACGAACAAATTTCATTTTAGCAGAAGAAAACCAATTCTGTGGCAGGCAGTTCAACTGAAAACGTCTCCGCTTGTGTAAAATGTTACTCTTCAGTGCATTTAATGAGCTTTAGCTCTGTTAGAGCCAAAGGTAATGTTGCCCCTTTACAGGTTCAGAATTTGGCTCTTGGTAGCCTTACTTTTTCATAGTTTTGTTCTGCAAGTTATTGTTTCACATGGACTCTCTCTGGATTGAGACACCTCTTTTGTAAACATTAGAGTGGCATAAATGAGTTAGTTGTATGTTATAGTCCCTAAAATGCAATAACTTGAATTGAAAACTCAGGTAACATCTCATCCCTACAGTTTTCTTTGGAATACTATTTTGTTATTCAGGATAGTAATATCTCTGCTTCTGTGGTTGTTTTGTGGCTTTTTGTTTTTTTGCAGAAAGTAAAAATTACAAATGAGAGAAATGTTAAAAAAACCAAAGAAAAGGAATCTGAAGATGAAGAGGATAAAAACAATGACTGTTATCGTAAGCAGAGAGATGAGCCTCCTGGTACAAGTAAGCACCTTCAGAAAAAAGCAAAGAAACAAGCCAAAAAACAAGCCAAGGTTGGTTTTGATAATTATTTCACTTTTGTTAATGAAGTGCTTGCAACTTTTTGGTAAAACAAACTCTTTTTGCTTCCTGGGTTTAGGGGAAAGGAAAGGAAACAGGTTCTCCTCACTCAAATGCACAACTGGAAAGACCAATTGTATCTACATCTTTGCAATTAAGAAGTTACATCTTCTGTTGAGAGTTGCTGTGCTATGAATAAGTTAGTATCCAGAGGAGTGTGCAATTTATGTTGCCTGTCTGAAGTAGCTTTAATTTGTATCAGACAGCTGTTTTCCAGTCACTGATTGCAAGAATAGTCACAAAACTTTAGAATCCAGACATAAGAAAGGATGGGGAAGATATAAACGGAATCATTAGTTGTATTTTGAAGATACAGAGATTCCTTGTTACACAGTACCTCAAGTGGGGATAAATTCACCTCTGATGATCATTAAACCATAGATTACTCTGCCCCCTCCCACCTTTTGCATCTATGGCATGCTACAAAAATTTTTATAAAGAAATTTTAAGAAATGCTAAATACCATTTAAACTTGCTCTGTTTTTTGTATTCTTGTATATTATGTATTCCAATTTGCAGAGCCAGCGCCGCCAGCAAAAACTTCAAGGAAAAGTGCTTCACTTGACAGATATCTGTGCAACTGAACAGCCAGAAAAAGATTTTGAGTATAGCCAAGAATCAGAGGCAGAAATTAACTCTGAAACTCCTGATACAAAGCAAGAAGAGGAATCATCAAATGATTGCAAAGATCACTGTTTAAATCAAAAAGACTTGAGTATACAGGGAAACAGTACAGAAGTTCAGAGCATGCATGAAAATACAGAAAAGACAGAACAAATGTGTGTAGAAAATGAGTCTCTTGTGGATTTCCCTATGGAAGGCTTAGATTCTCCTGTAAAGTTTGTCAATGGCCTTGACAATCTATCTTTGAAAGATGAGGATGATGAAAATGAACAGGAGGAAGAACTTGCTACCGACTTTTCAAAACTACACTTGGGTGCCAATGCTGAATCTGATAAGAGTACCTTAGATAACCTTCAAACTGTTCCCATCAAGACGTGTGAAGTATCAACTGAAGATCCAGAAACAGCATTTTGTACTCTTGCAACCAGGGAAGAGCTGAACTCAGAAGAAGGTTCAGTCCATCACTGTTTGTATCAATTTACCCGTAATGAAAAACTTACTGAGACCAATAAACTACTCTGTGATGTATGTACACAAAGACATTATGGACCAAAGAAGAACATCAAAAGTATGACAAATTACCTTCTAAAAGAAAAATTTAAATATGTCTATATCTGCTGCTTGGGTGGGTAAGGGGGGGAATGTCCCTAAACTGGTATTCGTATAAATTCAACTTGAATCACTTGAACTAGTAATGAGTGGGTAGCTTGTGAGAACCTCTTTCACACAGATTAATTCAAGCTTTTAATTGAGCAGAACAGTAGGCTCACAAGGTTGGGTACAGAATACTGCAGGACTGAAAAAGAAAAGTGAGTAAAGAGGAGTGGGTTTGGCGGGAGGGAAAGGACGTTTCCATCTAAAAATTCATTATGTGGATGAATGTAGGAAGCAGCTGTTTAGCAGGTGGCTTTTCTGTTCTTTCCTAAAATGTGAAAATTCTGCTGTGACAGTCATAGGGAAATCATGTTGGTGTTTGCTGAAAAGGCCAATAAAAGCTGCATGCAATTTCTGATTGTGGGAGTTGTAGAGAACAAGCAAGAATTCCTCCTGCTTGTGCTGACACTGCCCAGACATGGTGTGAGCGGTTACTTTTGTGATATAGGATTTGCAAGATGGCAGCTGTTGTACAGTTCATTTAACGTGATGTTAAAAAGGGGAATGTTCAGTTTCTCTTTTCTTGTAGTAGATGACATTCTAACAGTCTAAACAGTGAAAATGAAGAAATTCTTGCTGTAACATTTGTTTAGATCTTAATCACCAGTAGTTTTTCTTTTCTGCAGGTGAAAAGTATGTTTATACAAATGCCAAAAAGCAGATGCTAATCTCTCTTGCTCCTCCAATTTTAACTCTTCACTTAAAGAGGTTTCAACAGGTAAGCAGCAGGCTGATATTGCAAGAATGTGTATGTATGCAGTATCAGTTTAATATGTATCTGTGCGCATACTAATAGCTTAACTTAGAATTCATGTCAGCTTATTTTCATTTCCTATAAGCCTGTTTTGGTTTGGTCTTTTTTTTCCAAGGTCTGGAAGGCATTGGCACACAGCGTTGGTTTTTGTGGTCTTTGAGGAGTCAGGATGTGTTTTCCTGAAAGGATATTCTGTTAGTTATCTGTAAAACACTCTTTTGTGAGCTTATTTGCAATATATTCCCTCACTATTGTTACTGTTTACTGTATTAAGCAATACTTTAGCATTAATTGTTTCCAGCTACTCCAGCAGTTCATGGACTCTTATATTTCAGTACAGATAGAATACTAAATGAATGTAACAAATAGGTCAGTAGAATTGGAAAAGAGAATTCCGAGCCTTACTGAGGGGGGTGAGGATGAATAGAAAGCAATGCAACTTAAGTCTTTCTTATAGACACTGAAGTAGAATCATAGAATCATTTTGGTTGGAAAAGATCTTTAAGATCATCAAGTTCAACTGTAAACCTAACACTCCCGAGTCCACCACTAAACCGTGTCCCTAAGTAAAGTGGCTTACCTTTCTTCCAAGTTGAAGGAAAAATTTTAATTTAAGGCTTTAGCTTTTCAAGAAAGAAAGAGGACAGGAATAGGGATGTGAGACAGTATTGCCTCTTCTAAATTTAAAGCTGTTAGGTATTTTGGTCAAAATACTTGAAAAACAAGGGAGGTGACTTTAAATAGATGAAAAATAATTTCACAGAGAAAATGGAAAAGTGTAGCCTATTCCAAGAGACTGTAACATGATTAAAGAAATTACATTTGTCATTATCTCCTTTTCTTTTTCCAGTTTGATACTGGAAGATTATTTGAATAAGGTAAGAGTAGAAGTTCCATCAGTTTTGATGATATAAAACTAGACCCTCAGGCATATTACAGAATCTGCAAAGCAAGAGATGTCCTCATAGTTATATAAGTACATGAGCTGATTCTCCGCCCCCCACACACACACTTCTGCTACCATTAAGTTACCACAAGAGTGAGTTGAAGAGGTTTTAACTTGTGCTCCAGTGCAGTGTGTGAGGGCAAGGAGGTAATGCTGGGAAACCTTAGGCATCGCAGAAAAAAACCCGCAATGTTGCTTTTCCCAATTTTGTGTGATGTAAAACTAATTTTGTATTGTTGAAACTTTAACCTAAAACACTGAGTAACTAAGCATGGGTTTGATATGCTACATTTTAACATCATGGGGTTTTCTTCTACTTTTGTCTGTTTAAGGCTGGATTTAATCTACGGAAGGTTAACAGGCATATCAAGTTTCCAGAAGTGATAGACTTGGCTCCTTTCTGTACAGCTAAATGTAAAGTAAGTGGCAAAACAATCAGATTCTACTTTCCCACATTCTGTTGTGCTTTCACAGTTAAGCTGCTTAGCAGAATCTTTGTAGGAAGCTTGTCAAGCTTCAGTTATTTTGTGTGATAAGACAGGATAACTTCCAAGTGCAACTTGTACTTGAGTCAGTGTACTTCCACTGAGCATAGCTGTAGTGCTTGCATGAATCTGTAATGACCAGCTTCTCTTTCATCAGCAAACAAATCAAAGCAAAGTGAAGAGTTTACATTCTAGCCTTGTTTAAAACCCTGTTCCTGACTGACATACCTAAACATTTGCTTTTATAGAACGTGGCTGAAGGGAATACTAAAGTATTGTACTCTCTCTACGGAGTTGTTGAACATAGTGGAACAATGAGGTCTGGGCACTACACTGCTTATGCTAAAATGAGAAGCATGAACAATCATCTCTCTGATCTTGTCCTTCAAGGACAGTCTCTCCAAGGTAAGTAATTAGAAATATTTTACAAATTCTCTCTTACTGCAGAACAGTAACAGGATTGATTGATTGCTTCGATCCTTGTAATAACTTTTACAACCAAATTCTTCGTTTCACAGCTTTAGAAACTGAACCAGTAAAAGGACAGTGGTTCCACATCAGTGATACCCATGTACAAGCTGTGTCTGTGTCAAAAGTGCTGAGCTCACAAGCCTATCTCCTATTCTATGAGCGACTGCTGTAACTCCTCTGAGAAGCCATCTGCAAGTGGTCTGAAACAAGGCAAGAGACTTGTGAATCACGTTAACATGTTGGAGCTACTGTATACAACTGCGAGAATATACTTTATGCTTCTTAGACACACTGACAAGTGGTTAACTTATACTTTTTCCAATCTTTTCACTACTTTTAAATAAAAGTGTTCTTCAAAATTACAGCTTTGAGCTTCTATTGAGTAATTTGCATGGTGGCACAGACAAGCAACCACTTATTTTAGTTTCCTGCAAGTGCTATATGTCTTAGTCAGCAGCTTTTTCACTTTAAAGGGAACAGCTATAGTTTTGCACTATAGTTATCTTGGCTATCATCTGTTCCATGTGTATTTTAGAGCTGGCTTCCAAGCATAAGAAGCTGTTTCTTCCTACACATCTCAGAGCTGAGACAAATTCAGCAACAGCTCTTTCCACTGTTGGTTGATGTCCAATAGAGGAGCCTTCAGTTTGCAAACTCTCTACAAATTCTTTTCCATGGGAACTTTACACTGGTATTTTGGCAGGGTTGAGAGTTCAGATCTCTCTCCCTTTTGCTACAGGCATTCCAGTGTAGCCTTTCTGCACTGGAGGAGAAAGAAAGCTAGTCCTGCAGTGACTTGCAACTTTAACATTCTCTTTTCCACATGCTGGGCAGCAGCTGCTTACACTCTGCATTTTTCACAACACCCTTTCTAAGAAAATAGGCAGTCTTATGTGTTCTTGTTCCCCTTACAGTCAGCAGCAGTAGCACTTGTGCAGCTGACTTTAGCAGTATGCCAATCCTTTGGAAAACTTGCTGAGTTTATTTTTCAGCCCCACCAGCAACTGACTATAAAGCAAGCATTAGTGTAGCTGTTGTATGGCAGCCTTATTTAGGCATAAGATAGTCCAGACTTGATTTAGCCTTCCACTCCCTTCTGGCTGTGAAATAGAGTAGCACTGGCAAGAGTAATAAAAGGATTAATTATTGAAGTGGCTTGAATTTCAAGTGCAGTTTTCCTTCCATGCTACTCAGAGGCACACAAGCTGTTTACTTTCCAAGAAGAATCTTACCAGAGGCCTTCAGCTGAAAGATTCCAGCACCCTGCATTCATGCTGGCTACCACAGCTCTATTTATTTTTAAGGCCATTAGAATGAGATGTAGTTCACTGCTGTCAGGCTGCCGTTTGGAGAATGTGGAGACTCTTAAAAGGGTGAAGGTGAAATAAGATGCACATAACAAAAATGACTGTGGGCCTGGACCACAAACCTGCTGACAGACTTATTTCAATATTCATTTGACTTTTTGCACTCAAATATTGGGTAAGGAGCACAAAGAGCTGCAACAATTAGCGAAGATGCTTTCCTGAAATTGTGAGCTCCCTGCAGCAGGCTCAAAGTCTGTCTCCCTTGTCCACTATTCTGGGTGTAGGCATCAAGATGGTGGGGTGGGCTGCAGATGTGGCTTCTGTGAGGAGGGGCTGGGCATGGCTGATGCTGGACAGAGCCTGTTCCAGCTGGCTCCAAATGACCCATCGCAGGGTATGGCTGAGCCCTTCAGCCAAGACACTGGCACCTCAGGCAAACTCTGTAAGAAAGAGCAGAACACTACCCAGCAGTGAGGGGAAAAGTGAGAAAGGGGCCTTGCAAGCACCCAGGTGAGAGAAGGAGGTGGTCCAGGCACCCAGGCAGGGATCCCTGCTGCCCCTGGAGAGACCATGCTGGAGTAGGCTGTTCCCCTGCAGCTCATGGAGAACACAATGTCAGATGTCAACACTGCAGCTGTAGAGGCCCCCAGGCCAGAGCAGGTGGATACATGACTTGAAGGAAGCTGCAGCCTGCAGGGAGGAGCCTAGATTGGAGCAGGTTTTCATGCCATAAACTGCAGCCCACAGTTCCTGGTGGACTAGTAACCCAGACAGAGGATGTCCATGCTGAAGCAGCTGATGAAGGACTGTACTCTGGGGGAGGGGAGGATGGGGGAAGTACACATAGGAAGGAGTGGCAGAAAGGAGCTGTTACAGGCTGACCACAGATCCTACTCCCCAGACCACTCCGAGGGGGGAAGAGGTAGAAAAGTGGGGAATGAAGGAGTACAGCTGAGCCTGGGAAAGAGGGAGGTGAACAGGCAGGTGTTCTGATTTTTGTTCTTGTTTCTCACCCTCCCAAATCCATTTTTAATTGGTAATAATTTTCCACACATTGAGTCTGTTTTACCTGTGACAGTAATTGGTAAGAGACCTCCCTGTCTTTATCTCAACCCATAAGCTTTTTCAACTTGTGTTCTGCCTCTGTCCTGGTGAGGAAGGGGCATCTGGCAGCCAGCCAAGGTCAACCCACCACACCCACAGTCACCTCCAAAAAAATGCTTGCATATTCCCATGCCAAGTCCAAATAAAACAACAGTTAACATTTTAACAGTGAGTACATTTATTGAAGTGTTTGAAGTTCTGCACTCCACTGGACACCATAACTTAAAGGCAACAGAGCAAAACATCATGACAGACTCCAACTGGAATATTAAAAAACTCACATAATCATGTCACTTAAGAAGTACAGTTAAATTTTTCAATCATTTTGGTCTTCATCCCAGTCTTTCTTTCCTGATGGAGGTTTAGGGCCCCCAGCTGGTTTTGCCATAATGATCTTGAAGATAACAGGGAAGGAGAAAAAGATAGGGTTAAAATCAGACTTTTACCCCACTCTTATTTATAGCCACATGATGCTGGCTGTCAGCATTCACTAAATTCATGCAGTTTCCCTACTCTGAACCTAAGCCAGTGAATATTATTATCCATCTAATTGAGATATTCACAAATTAATTTTTTTTTTTCTTGAAAATGGCAGAAGCTGAGCCCTGACACAAAAAACCAGCTTTCACTTCTTTTTTGCATGCAAAGGAAGATTTCAGTTAGTCTACAAGAAAGCAAGTGCTTAAATAGGCTAACGAGTGGCTGGTTTACAGGATGCACACTACAGAAAGCAGAATTATCAGAGCTGTGTTCTGAATTATTGAGTCTAAACATCGCACTTTAAAAGCATGAAGTCCACTAGTCCTACCAGGTTAAAGGCTCATTTTCTGCACTTGCTATAGTGACAAGGTAGGATTAAAACTGCACTTGTCACCCCTTCAATAAAAATTTAGTTTAGGAGTAAAATTCATTCGCAAAGGCAAAAATACAAAAGGTAGCAATCAGCACCCATAAGACAGCAGCGTTATGTGTCCTCAAAAAAGACAGGATTTGCCATGTGCTTGTCAATGTATCCATGCATGCACTCACACACAGATGCCTCTCTGCTAGAGACACAGAGCTTACTGCATCCTATTTTTCAGGTTCATCTTTCCAGTCATCCTTATCCCAATGTCCTTGTTGCTTAGGGGCTTTTGGACCGCCTGCTGTTTTTGCCATAATAATCTACAGAAATTTTACATGCAAATACATTTTTGCTAAAGTTCCACCAAATATATAAAGATTTTTGTCATTAAGATTACAACCTCCATTTTTCCTAAAAGTTGGATTTTCATAAAATTTATTGTTTCATAAAAACAATATACGAGAGAAGGTTTCTTGTTTTAAGTTCCTACAGAAGTTAGGAAAACCTTCTGGATACAAGTACCAACTATCTAATCTTAAAAAAAAAAAAAAAAAAAAAGAGACACTAATAGTGGTCCTAAGGAAGCAGCAACATTGCAGCATTCCAAATTAGGAGCTCATGAACAAGTTGCTTCCTGGCTTTTAGAAATAAACAAACCATGTTTTTCAATATATCTGAATGCCTTGCATTCCCAGCAGACCCACATATTTTGCATTAGTGTTCTGCATACTGAGTAAAAAGTTTCAATTCAGCTCCCACATTACTTGTAAGCTTACCTGATCTACCCTTAGGACGGTTACTGCTGCATTAGTAGCTAGCTTGATACCCCAGGATTTTCCAAGGTATGTGTCTAACACACCAGCTTCCAACATATCCTTCACAGCAGCAGCTTCAGCCTATCAGACAGCGGGGGAAAAACATTATTCAAAACTTTCTCAGGCTTCTACCTAGCAAGTTATTGGGTTTGAAAGGTTAGAGAGTCAGAAGAAATTATCACTTCTCTCATCTCAACCTCTTTCATCAGAAAACCTTCATTCCTAATCCATTAGCAGGAAGACAAAATAAGTAATTCCTGAAGACTTATTCTCCATGACATTAGTTCAGTATCCCACGTTACCTCCCATATAAGTCCACTACACTACAGTGAATTTAACTGCTCGCTGCTGAAAAAAAGAAAAACCACTTCAATATTACAATTCTAAGAAGTTGTCCTTCTAGCCTGTGCAACACAGAGCTTCGATGATTTAAATTAATCTATAAATATTTCATATTGATAGAAGTACATTTAAATAGAACTGTACTGCAGAGCACCAAGTAACGTAAGAGATTACTTACCTCAATATCAAATCCAACATTTTTGTTCCCTTCCTGATGCACAGCATAAAGTTTGGAGATCACCTCATTAGCCTTTACTCCAGAGTTTTCTGCCAGTGATCGAGGAATGGCTTCAAATGCCTCAGCAAACTTCTTGATGGCATACTGATCAAGTCCAGGACAAGTCTGAAGTGAAGTCAAAAACCATGTCAGAACTTCAAAAACCCTAACATAGGGAGGTATTTTCCCCCCCTTTTTTAATTTATATGCATTAATACACATACATGTTTTGTCATAAAAGAATACGTATATATTTTTGTAAATCACATATATATTTAAGTACATGTAAGTGTGTACGTGTACATAAAAAGGCTAAAAAACCCATCTGCTGTACCTCTCCGTAAGACGTGATCTGCTTGGCTAATTCAATCTCTGTTGCACCACCTCCAGGAACAAGGCGTTTATCCTGTGAACAGACCATCCAAAAATGCAAAGTTTTGTTAAAAGCATCACACTAATTTTTACTTTTTAGAATTTACATACTCTATGAAGAACACAATAGAACTTTGTCTCACAGACACTTACTAAGAATCTGCTTCAGAACATGCATTTTAAGATAAATTTACCAGAAATTACTC